ATTACTCTAATTCACCCTAACGGGCTGGAGCCTAACCCAACAGACACTGTACACAAGGAGGGAATTTCATTCATATTTTTCTCACACATCTACAGAAATGTCCTGGTTTTAATTCTTTGCAAAAACTGTAAACAATATAGATTCACATTAGAATAGTTTTATTATTTTTCTACAATTTGATGTCTCATCAAATACTTTGAAATCACTTGGCAAAGCACACTCCAGCAGATCTCATAGGTCACATTGAAATCAGCTTTCTGTAAAGGCCTGGAACGCATGTGAGGTTTGATCAATGAATCACATGAATAGGTCCAATTAGGTCAGGAATGGTCAGCCACAGTGCTTGAGAGCTACAGGGTTTTGCTCTTTTCATTTCAAACGATCTCTAAACTACTTGATCCAAGCACTTAGAAACTAATGACATAAGGGTGACCCATATAAACTGTCGGATTGTGGCTCCGCCGCATGGACATGTACAGTACTCCGACTTGTGTTTTTGAGAATCAGTTAATACTGTACAGTACTTTAGCGCTAATTATCCAGAAGGGGGCAGCAGATGCGTGTTATTTGGCACAGTTCTGCACATCTCGAGGGCCAGTCTCGCGATATCGCGGTTGTACTTGCGGTCTGATTCCCTTCAGTGCGATGAGAGTCGCAACAAGGGTCTTTCGAGTCACTTTTAAATATTTCATTTTATTTGTCTGAAGTGGAGAAAAAAAATATTACTCCCTCAGAATCCTTTGTCTCTTATATTCTTAATTGTTTCAAGTAAGCAACGACCATTTTTTTTGTTTTTCTTCGTTAGTGGGAGAGGGCACAGTTGTGATCATCCGGACTTGGAAATGAGTTTCCTCTTGTAAGTAGAATGAGAAATGTTCATCTCTTCCTGTTTTCAGTTTAAGCGTTTTTATTTTAAACTTTTGTTTCAATTCTGCTGTCTAAAAGTCTTCCTTTGTTATTGCCGTAAACTCTGGCACAAATATCGATGGTTACCCACTGAAACGACGAATTATAAACTTTATTTTCACGAAGCAAGAAGTGCGGTACGAAGGTTGTACCTCTTCAGATGGCTAATGGCGTAAATAAGTTGGGGAGGTGTTTTTTCTGTTGTTAACTTAGTCTGCTGGCACACACGCAAAAGACGGCTTATATAATAACCACCACCGCTACTCCGCAAAAAAGATTTATTTCAGCTTTCTCGAAACAATGAGAAAAAAGAAAACATTTTAGCGATCAAAGCTTTTGAAGAAGCCCTTGCAAAATCCGTGATCTCAGAGATCAATTAGACGGAACTGCTGGTAATTTACCCACCTCCACGGAAAAATGAGCATGTCGTCGTAGTTAATCTTAAGAAACGACAAAAAGTAAGTAAACCGTTTGGGAGAGGGCAAGAAGTCAGTATTTATTTAATTCTGGTCAATTACATTTACCATTCTTATTAACACAAAATAAACTAAAATTATGGGAGTTCTGCGCGTAATAGTAAATTGAAACCGTATATCTAGAATTTATCATCATACATTACATTGATATGTGATCTGAGGGGTTTTATTCGATACTTGCATCGTAGTAGGTGCATCATAGGTGCGGGTGAGCATTCGAGTTTTGCTCTCAGCCTCCATTCCTGTGCCTTAACTCCATACTTTAATTGATTTGGAACTTTATGTCCACCTAAGTTTGAGGGGTTTGTTTTGACCTGGAATGTATTCAAGCAGATGTCAGATTGCAAATTCCCTCCAGCTCTTTTCTGGTGCT